AGCTATTTAAAATTTATTGATAATAATATAAATAAATAAAATATTAACTATAAGATAAAAAAATTTTATAATTTAATTATATTAATTACTTATTTATTAGATCTTTTTTAAAAATAATTATCAATTAATAATATAAATAAAATCTTGATTTTTATTAATAATTTTTATACTAATAATAAAATTATTATTAGAAGTCAAGTTATATAATATAAAGCAAAATCAGATCTTTTTAATAATATATTAGTATGGAAGTATATTAATAATATTAATCTAATTACTTGATAAATTGTATAAATAATATCTAAATTTATATAAATAATATAATATATCTTAATAATTCCAATATTATTTATAATTTATGAATATAACTGATTAGCTTTTGTAAATTTTTATATTAAAAAAAGAAATTAATTAAATAATAAGTATATTTTTAAATTAGTTATATTTATAATAATTATAACTTATAAATTTCTTTAGATAATCAAAAAATAATTGTTAAAAAAAGTATTAATAATGAAATAAGTATTAATTAATATTATGCTGATAATGAGAGTAATAAAAGCAAATATTAGGATAATAATGAAAGTAAATATTAGAATAATAATAATAATAAATAATTAATATATTAGATAATAGTAATAATATATTAAAAATATCAAGTAATAGTAATAATTATTAATAAATATATATAATAGTTATAAAAAATAAAATTATCATTAATTTTTATAAATTTATATTATATATCTAATTATTATATATATATATAGATTATTATATATATTATATATATACTTTCTAGTCAAAAGTATCTGATTACTTTAAAACTAGATAAAAATACATAAATTTTAATAATTAATTTCTTGATAATTTATATTATTTTATTTAGAAAAATATAAATTTTATTAATATCTAGTTGAATTTTCATGGCTATTTAATACTACTTGAACTTTTCTTGACAAACTTTTAACTAAATTTATTAAAATTTTTGACTCAATTTTATTTTACTTCTCCTCTAAAACTATTATTAATTTCACAATATTTTTTGAATAAGATTTATATTTCTTAATTTTTTTTTCCAAAATATCATAAATATTTAATTAAATTAAGCTCAGGACTCTGTGCAAATCATAGAAGACTTAATATTAAATTATTCACTTTTTATTGATTGACTATTCTTGCTTTATATATTGAAGCATTATCATTTTTGAAAAATATATTGTTTTCTAAACTATTATAAAAGAGTAAAAAAGTAATTTTTAATATGTCTATATATATAAAACCTATTATTCTATCTGAAACTTGAACTAAGAACCAATTTTATCTTTTACAAAACATTTCCATATCATGACTCCTTGATTTTAGATTTTACAGTTGGAATTAAGCAATTCACATCATATTTTTCATGTGGTCTATATCAAACCCAATGATATGCATTATTTTGAAAGAAATTCATCACTCCAAATAATAGAATTCCACTCATCATTTCAATTTCTTCTTTCATGGCACCATTCTAGTCTTTTTTTATAATTTTGTTCAGAAATAAATGATTTTCTCTTTCCAGCTCATCCATAAAATTCCTCAATATGTAAAGTACACTTTATAATACTAGAAGATACAAACTCACTAAATTTTTTTGCCATTTTCTCTAGTGATTGTTGCCAATCTTCCTTAACTAATTTTACAAGACTTCTAATTTCTCTTTTTGTGAGTTTTGATGGCCTTCCTAAGCATGGAGTATCTATAACATTTTCTGAATTTTTATATTTTGTTATAGTGTCAGTTTAGAATATCCAAGAATTTCTCTAATATTTTGTTCACTATGGCCTCCTTTCCAGAGATCTAAAATCTCTCTTCATTCAAACTCAGCAGGTTCACGCCTTTTGGACATTGTAAAAGAAAAAAATTTTTATTTTCAGGTAGCTGAAGTCAAGAGCTGCATGGAAGAAAAATTTTATTTATTTATGCTTAATAGTTTTGGCGTAATCTTATTTTAAAAGGTAATAAATCAGGTGGTCGGAAACTTTTGACCGGGGAGTGTATATACTATGGGCATATACGCGCATTTGCCCATCTCTAATCAACACGCTTGTAATGTCTTTTTAGTTTCAGAAGTTAGTTTTTTATTAAATACTTTAGAATAACGATGAGATAGGACTATGTTCTCTAAATTACTGTATAATAGAATATATATATATCGATAATAGAGTTTGCCTAGAAAGATACGAAGAACAAAATAATTTTATCGTAGGCGTTATTGAATTAAGGTTTAGTCTATTAAAATCGCAAGAACTACGTATATGCCCCAGAAAATCTGTGTATAGTAATTGAACCGCCTTTAATTTCCTAGATAAGGATGGGTTGGTTCAGCTCAGTTTGATTTGGTTCAGTTCAATATATAGAACTGGAACCAATTCCAGTTTTTTATTAAATAGAATGGAAACTGAACTGAACCGGTTCAAATGAACAAACCATCTTTAAGCACGGTGGTATTTTTCCTTAAGGTTAATTACGCAAATTATTATTGTACTTACGTGTACATATATATTACATGTAACTAAATTTGCACTTCAAATGAGGGGATTAAAAATGTGGTTCATATCAACACATCAGATGATGAAATCCGTGTTTATGAAATACAAACACAAATTAAGCGCAAAAATTTCTTTTGCCAAGGGATATATGAATTTTTTAAGTTACATTACAATAAATCTGTTCTTATAAAAAATAGTTATCCAAAACCAGCACATATTTAACCAATTTGAAACTGCATGCAATGGAGCATGAAAATTGATTAACAAAACGCATTATGATTTCATATAAGAAAACATGAACTGATTTGATTTTAAAGAATTGATCATGTAAAATGTTACTCATTTTGTTTGATACGTACTACTCGTTTGACAATAGATTTTTCTCGATCATGATGTTAATTTTTTTCTCACAACTAATAAGGTTACATAAATTTTTATCAAAAAAATAAATCCGACGCTAATGTAGAACCGCGTAAACGTTACTTCCACGACAGCCCGCGTATTTTGTTTGATACGTACTACATGTATCAAGTCTCATTGACAATAGATTTTCTCGACCATCATGTTAATTTTTTTCTCATAACCAATAAATTTTTTATCGGCAAAATAATACCGACATAAATGTAGAATATAAAAATAGTTCACACCAGAAATGTTGCGGATACATTTTTACATATAACCCTCGGACCCTGCATGAATTATTATGAAAAATAATATTTTAAGAATTAACCGTGTAGATATTATTGTGTCTCATTTGACAACGAAATTATTATCTTTATTTATAAAAACTCGCATTGTTGAATTAACTGTGTAAAATGTTGTTTCTATGACGGCCCGCATACTTCGTTTAATCTTATCTAGTCTCTCATTTGACAATGAAGTTATTATCGATATGCATGAATAATAAATTGTAACATAAATGAGAAAACTAAAATATATTACTATTAAGTCTCTTTCAGACTTTTGAAGAATCCTAATACATGAAAAACATATAAATAAAGACAGAAGTTGTAACTCATCTAATTTTATATTCATAATATATAGCATGTCTATTCAACATGGCAAAGTATTGGATTTACTCAATTGGCCTTGTTCTCACTGCAAACTTATTCTCAAATACAGAAGTAACTTTGGAGGAAAGGAGTCTAAATGTAAGTTAAAGAATTATCTGATTTTATTATAATTTTATAACTAAAATGTTATATTCTATCAATAGTATGATCCTGAAGTATTATGGCGATTTGAGGACAATCGTATAATTTCTGAATATAATGGAAGAGCATTATCAGTATTGTAAGTATTCGAAAGTGTATTTAAATTTTATTAATAATAACTAATGACATTTATTTATCTTTTTAATTTTAATTTTATTTCATATTATTGTATTACCTTGTATAAGGTTCAAGATTAATACTGAAACATAAGGCCTTAGCTCCAAGGTGGCGTTATGATCATAATACTTCAGTAATATTATGTGTAGAGTATGATGGTACATCGACTGTAGTGGTAAATATTTGATATTTAATCTTTTTTCTGAATATCCTCTTTATTAATTGATGAATTATTATTTATACTGAACATAGAAATATGAAAATAATCAGCCTTATCTAGCATTGAGACCTCTCGAAAATGGCGAACCTCAATATTTTATTGTGTCAAAAGCCACGCCTTCCGCTAATATTTAGATAGCACAAATTAAAATTTAACATCACGTTAACTGTGCTTTAATGAATGGTTTATATCTGACAGTGAAGACTATGTCATGATTTTATTTGAAGTTCATGTTCGGTTTAGAGATGGGCATACCGATACTGCATGATCATGATATACTCATCAAACACATGTACATGTAATAAACTAAGCTCACACCGATATGTGCATGTATAAATAAATATGCAAATAAGTTTTTGTACCGCTACCACATACACAATTGTACATGTACATGTAACAGCTCTTTAACACACATATGAAAGAATGTTCAAATGCATAGTTCCATAAGTCAAAGATCTTGATAAGTCAAAGAAGAACTAGAATTATCCTCAACAAGACAAAACCTCTCTAAAATTAAGAAAATGACTAAAAGTATCACCTCGACTTGGAGAAGTAAAGATTTGTAACCTGACGAGGAAATGAAATTGCAAAAGATCATTCCTATAAGAACAAATCTCACCTAGACTATTTTGATTTCAAAAGCATATATAGTTCTAAAAGTGTTTGTTTGTAATTTAATAGCTATTTAATACTATTCTTCACAAATATTTATCGTTAAATCTTGATTAGAACGAATAAGATGAGTCAAACATTATTAAGTTCTGGTAACCTCTCTTCTTCTATGATGGGTATCTAGAAACTTTTTTGTCTATCTTATCAGAATTTCTTTGTTTAAATTATTCTCCCACACCGTGTGAATGCTTGGCGTGGCTGATTTTAATTGTTTTGTTTTTGGAGTAATTTTGCCAGAAGCTAATGACGGGATTTTTTCGGAAATAATTTTGTGGAGTTCGTGGGAAAACGGGATCTCTTATCTTATATAGGGACATTGGTAGGGGTTGGGTTTTTTTGGTTGAATAAGATTTTGTAAGTTTTCAAGTTGCTCTTACAAAATAAAGTAAGCAAAAAGTCTTATTGTTTGCTTGCTGTTAAATTTCAACATTTGCAAATAGTTTGTTAATTTTGTAATTTAAAAACTTTTGCTTCTGTCTTAATTTTCTTTGAAAGGTTAATTTTGAAATGTAATAGTTCAGTTATCGTTATTTTAAATTCATACTGTATAAATTTTGTAGAAAATGCCCGCACCTCAACCTGCACCTACACCTATACTAACGCTGTGTGTATATCCAACGACGACGACGATAATATTGAATATCAATAAGTTGTACAATTTTTAAATATGATGATAACAAACGTTATCGCGAATATCGTATAAGAGGTTGCTTAATACTTTTGATTATAAATTAAAAATAATTTTTAAATTTTCCTTTGCCTGTTGTATTCTTTTAAATTTGTTTAATTGGTCAAAACATTGAAGAGTTTATTTTTCGTTATTTAATTTTTAAATATCTTGATAGAAGAGCATGAAGCACTTATTTATTTTCCTTTTTAAGTCTCGTTTTAGGGCATATTAACGAAGGAAATTTTAACTTACAACTTTTAAAAACTTTTGCTCTATAAAGGAATTAATTGAAACTTTTTTCTTATTTTACTCCATTGTCCAGAAACTTTTTCGTGTTTGTCTCAAACTTCGTTAAAGAAATGAAGGCCACATTTTTTTTATCTTTTATTTCTAGTAGGTCTTTTAATTTCTTTTACTAGCCTTTTTTATTAGTAATTTTCTTTTCTTTTTCGTATTTTTACTTTCATATGAATAAGTTTGTTACGATTTTAATTGTTATGGCTTTAAATATATAGCTCTCTTTGTTGGCCTTTAAATATGTTTTATTGTTGAGAAAGTGTTGGGTTTTTTTTGATTATAAAAATTTAGCAAATAAAATTCATATACTACTAATCTTATCCTAAAATTACCTATTATGAACTAATTTACATTAAATATTCCATGGAACACAAAGATTATGCTGAAATTCATTCTACATGTATTTTAAAGAAAGAATAGGGCTCCTTATGTTTTTTAAGTTAAGTGATACTATGCTAAGGCGAGAGCGAATAACTTATGAAATTTATTGTCCAGAAACACAGAACTAGGGGGACAAAAAGAATGTTAAGCCAATATAAGGAAGAATTCATAAGACCAAGCAAAAAACGAATGTTAAAATCAGAAGAAAACAAGGACTAGCCAAAAGCGAGCATTAAAGGAAGACGATTGTCAAGAAGAGATATAAACCAAATTAATTTTAAAAATACTTAAATTCATACATGTATGTGGAAGCTGAATTACAAGTACCGATTTGTATGCTCCAAACGAAGAAAAATAAAGGTAAATATGTTAATTAGAGATTTTGTTGAAATAAAAAAAAATGAATTAATTCTTTATGAAATACTGAATACGTACGCTCTTCGTTAGAAGAAATTAGTAATTATTTTTACTGAGTCGTTATGCAGATTTGATATGATAAATTAATAGAACACATAATTCACCAGTCAATTCAACTCAAAAGCTTTATAATTACAAATATAACGAAACTAATAGTATAGCTTATATCTTTAATTATTAATAAATTTTTTAGTTATTCTATATATAAAATGAATTATACAATATTTGAACACAACAATTAGTGTTCAAACAAAGTGAAAAGTCATTATCGTTATTATGTACAGGTATACATCATTTCATATTCATTTACGATTCATAACTTGTGCATAAAAAATTGCAAACAAAAATTATAAAATTGAATTTTTAATAAAAATAAAGTCTTGTATTATTTATCCATTGAATAAAGATCTTTCATATCTATTAAGAATAATTTTGAATTGATCAAGTTGTTTACAAACCAAGTTCCAAGAGCTAGACACGGCAACACGAAATGCTTTCTTAAAATCTCTATTAGCTCTTACGCCTTTATAATAATGTAAAAACAAGGCTATGTTTTTCGCCCGCATCTCTACTCTCTGCTGACTAATAAATGCCTTTTTTTCAAGTTTGAATTGTTAATGCTTTTCTTATAAGAGAAATAATATACAACACATAAGAAAACGTTAACTTAAATGACAACACAAATGAAAAATCCAATTTCTTCTAACATTCGTTTATTTAGCGTTAGGTTTTTTGAGAAACTCATTTCACGATATGAGATATTCTCAAACAAAAATAGCACGCGATTTCTAAATAAAGCAATGAATAAATTTGTTTTTAAAATGTGTATGAATTCAACAAATATCCTAGATTATATATAAACAAGCACATTTCTATATACTATACCAATTTAGTTTGGCATATAGAAACTTTAGACTTGTATATGACCGACAACGATTTTTCGCACCATGGATTTTTTATGGCGCAGACATCTAGTCACATGATAAAAAAGGACAATTTTTTTGAAAGTTAATAACTAAAAATAATATTATTTTAATTCAAACTTCTATTTTGTAAATTCAATGTCGGAATTTTAGTGACATTTCCTAAGATCAAGTAATATTTCAATATGTGAATTCAACTTATAAATATTCGCATCTGTTTGTGTCGCATATGAAATTGTTTGGAAATTTCTAATCACATATGAGTAATTCCATTATAATTTCTTTGAAGTTCCATATTTCAAGATCCAACGGCAGGAATCAAGTGTAAAGTCCATCATTAGATTCACAAAACCTGGAAAATTAAATGTTATTCTTACACTCCATCACTGGAACTCAAGATATTGAGTCCAAGAGAGGTTGTATGTGATTTGATAAATAATTTTATGTATAGCTTCTTTGAATTCAATATTTTGAAATTCGCCAGTGAGAATTGAATATAAAGCTCATCATTGATTTACAGAACTAGGAAATTTAAATGATACAGTGGTCGTCATAAATATTCGGAATTTTTGATATAGTGCATAGAATAATGAAAAATTGTCAAAATTGCCTGAT